ACTATAGAACTATGTACGATTCTATACTCACATTCTTTTGATATTTATAACATGTTGTTATGAAATGTATTGCAACCACTTCACAGAAGATGAATTTGGGGGATTCCCCCACTGTTGTACGTGCACTGAGTTTACAATTTGTATGTTGCTATCCTACTTAAGTGTATTTGACTGTATTTCATCCTGCTAATTGATGATTACACATGAAAATTTGGAATAAAAATGTCATTAAAAATAATAACATATCCCAAAAGAAAATGGTACATTAAAAACGAAGCGTTAAAAGCGCTTGCCCTTATCTTCCATACCATTGAGAGAAACTCAGCTACAGATGCAGTGATTTCAGGGGATTTATTGGAAAGCAAGAAGATAAACTCGTTATCGACAGTCTTTGCAGAAGGCAAAAGGGGACGAATCAAGTGATGGCATAGGAAAGAATATTGGGGGCAACGAAGAAGGATATGTTGCACAAAGTCAGGTTCATTATAGGAGCAGGTGCAAACTCTATCCTTATAGGGGGGCCCGGCAACTTAAACCGTTAAAAACATAATTACAAATATAGAACCTATAATAGACCAGATGGCAGTAGGGGTGTGCAAGGAAAAAACCCAGGTTTTTTGGGATTTGGGTATAAAAGAGCGGAATTTGTTCGGCATTTCTGAATATTCCCAAATGCCAGTATCAGCGTTGTATTTGTCTTCAGGAAATATTCGGTAATAGTGAATATATTCAGCTCCATTATACCCTATGGGGCCATTAGAGTCAATAGCAACTCTTGTAGGGTATATTCAGTGGGCTGGGGGAGAGGGGGGTTGAGGCAGAGGCACCAAATTTACAGTGTAGCTGCTGGAGCTTCTCCCCAAAAGGACCCCCAAGTTTCAAAAAGATTGGACGGCATATACCCGAAGAGATTTGCCATTGAGTATAATGGCCCCATAGGGTATAATGGAGCCGATTAATAGCTGAATAAAGCCGAATAGTAATCAGGAATCTCTATTCAGCTCCCAAGTAGTTGCTCTGATTTGGTATCCGGCTTAATAAATACCCAAAAAATGCCAAAAAGGCATTATTCAGGTATTTATTCAGCTCGGTAAATACCAAATGCACATCCCTAGCAGCACATGATAAATGATGCTAGATGAAGCAGGGGAGGCCAATGTGATTGGATACCTGCTCCCTCAACCATAGGCCTGGTGGAACAACTCCATTTTACAGGGCCTGCGGAACTGTAACAAGTCCAGCAGGGCCCTGATCTCACTCAAGAGAGTGATCTACCAGGCTGGAGCCAGAGCCAAAAAAGGTCTGGTTGAGGCTAAGCAGATGTCCTTTGTTCCGGGGACCACCACAGTCCAGCTGGAAGGAACACTCACAAATCCTTGAAATTCACTGGCATTTCCAAAATGAAACGCAAAGTTGCAACTGACTCATGGTGACCCAAGAACCAGGCAAGAGATGAGCAGAGGTGGTTTACTATTGCATGTATTTGTAGATTATTAGACCTTTTAGATCCCAATGCGTTTTGCGTTTCGCAATAAGCTTCATGAGGGGATCTAATAAAACGAAGTTCAAACAAATACAGTTACATCAGTACATGTTAGTACCAACTTTATATTACTTAGAACAATTAATTTTGTTAAAAAATTAATTTAAATGCCCTCTGAGCATGGTGTAGAGATCTTTACACATTCCCTAGTGTGATACAAAAAACCTGGACAATTTAGAACGTGAAGCCTTTTTATAAATAATTTTATAAATAAATACCGAAAGAGATACAAGGAGTCAAAGTAAACATTAACAATTTCAAAAATTAATTATTAGTTTGTGTGTTTATTCTAAATGATATAACGTTGGTACTAACATGTATTGATGTAAATGTATCTATTTTAATTTCATTTTATTGTATCTCCCGACAAAGCTTATTGTGAAATGTGTTGGGATTTAAAAGTTCAAAAAAAACCCCTACAAATAAACTTGCATCTTGTCCTTTTTCTCTCCTACCTACTGGTGCGGCCCTGTTTTCTTCCCCTCCCTCTGCATAGCCACCCTGGACTTCCTTGGTGGTCTCCCATCCAAGTACTAACTGTGGCCCAACCTTGCTTAGCTTCCAGGCATCAGCATTACGCTTGCCAACCTCATGCCAACCCTGAAGGGCTTTGTGATCTACCAGTCAGCATCTCCTGGTGGTCCCCGGCCTTAGGGACGTCCGTCTTGCCTCGACTAGGGCCCTGGCCCCTACCCGGTGGAGTGAGCTCCCGTATGCAGGGCTCTTTTTGTAGAAAAAGCCCAGCAGGAACTCATTAGCATAATAGGCCACACCCAACAGTAGAAACTCATTATAGGCCACACCCCTGACAGCACAGCTCATTAGCACATTAGGCCACACCCCCACCATGTTACCAGAAGTGTGGTCATCCAGCCACACCCACCTTTTGCTTGTTATTCCTTTTACCTTGTTTGTTGTCAAAACTCAGGGCCTTTTTTGTAGCAGGAACTCCTTTGCATGTTAGGCCACACACCCCTAATGTAACCAATCCTAATGAGTTTCTGCTGTTGGGTGTGGCCTATTATGCTAATGAGTTCCTGCTGGGCGTGGCCAACTTGGGAGCCAGCCGGAACTCCGTTCCTGTGCGTTCCTGCCCAAAAATAGCCCTGCCTGTATGAGATCAGGGCCCTGCGGGGCCTTTTAGAGTTCTGCAGGGCCTGCGAGACGGAGCTCTTCCGCCAGGCTTTTAGTTGAGGCGGCGGGTGTCCCCCCTCTACTGGGCCTCCCCTTCAGCGGGTCAGATCTGCGTTACCATCTGGGATCTCCAATCTGAAATAGACCTCATCTGTTGAGGCTTTGATAAGAAACATAGGAATATTATTGTATTTTATCTGGTGGCTTTTGATCGTTTTTAATGGTTTGTATATTATATTTGACGGGACCTGCCCTGAGCCTGCTATGTGGGGAGGGTGGGATACAAATCTAATAAAACAAAGCAAATGGTGGTGGCTGGAGACCACCTGGGATGACAACTGATCTCCAGGCGACCGAGATCAGCTCCCCTGGAGAAAATGGCTGCTTTCGGAAGGTGGACTCTACGGCAGGGGTGGCCAAACTGCAGCTCGGGAGTCGCATGCGGCTCTTTCACACAGTCTCATTTAATGTTAATGAAAAGCAAATCTGCACTATTTTTCAATAAAAACGTGTGTGTGATATTTGTTCATGTCTTGCGGCTCTCAAACATCTGACGTTTATTCTGTGTGGCTCTTACGCTGAGCAAGTTTGGCCACCCCTGCTCTAGGGCATTATACTCTATAGAAGCCCCTCCCCTCCATATAGGCTTGCCAAGTCCCCCCAGGGGGCGGGGAAACCCCCGCCCCAGAGGCCCGGTCCCCGCCGCCGCCGGATCGGGCCCCGGAGGGAACTCCACCCCAATGTGCACGTCACCAGGAAGTGACGCGATCACGCCGGGCACG